AAAGAGAGACCCTAGGGAGGTTTTTACTCTCCCTGAAGTCATTTTATTAGAGTAGTAATCATTGGATGGAAGCTTATCAAGGCATTGGAAGCCAAACACATTAGATTTCATTGCCAGCGAATAAAGGCGCATTTCAGAGGTGTTGCCTTCTGGGTAGTTAGTTAACAGTTACAAGAGATTTCTGAAGGAAGGAAGAATTGAATATTTTCCCCACCAATCTCAGGATTACACCTTTGACCTAGAATGAAGTAGTGTTTAATTTTATTTTCTGAGACAATGCACTGGTCTGCTCTGGAAACATTGAGACCTGAATGGAGGGTGAAATAGTCCATCACATCATTAAGCCTTTATCAAAATTTCCCCAACTGTTCATGGAAGTTTAATAATGAAAGAGCTAGTTATAGCCTATGCAAATGATTATGACAGCACAAAATGCTTTTTAGTGATTTCAAGTTAGAATTAGGCAACAGCAATAGGCACAAACAGCCACTTAGGGGACATGCCAGCTGCTTCCAGTGAAGCTGCTGATATAAAAACAGGGAAAGGCACTAAAACAGACCCAATTCAAGTCATAATTTGCTTGCTAAAAATTTCCTGTTTGTGTCTGCAGTCTTCAAGGAGTATCCTGAGTCAGGGCGTTCCTAATGACATTGAGTTGATTCACATGTGAATTCACTTCCTCCCATCACAAGGATGCATAAGGCTAGAGGCAAAAGTGAAGCCCTCTAGAAGGGAGACAAATCTCAGCTGATGTGTCCTTCCTGACTCGGAGGCCCAGTCTGTTGGCAGATGCCAGAAAAAGGCAGCTGAAGCTCAGAGGTGGAAGTTACCCTTGGTGGTCCCACCCTCCTTGACTTCCGTGGCTCTCTGGTAACTTTCCTATTACACACTAATTAAGAGTAAAAAAGTTCACTTCTTCTCCAGCAAGGATTTTCTTGACCTGCAGCAAAGTTCTACTTTGATTTCAAAGTCTGCCCTGCATTCCTAGAATTCAAAAAACCCCATTAGCTGTCCTGCCTCTAATTTCACTGGCTGTTTGTTTTTCTGCTACCCCCTTTCCTCCCTGTGGCTTGGGCCCCTGAGGCAGATGGATGAGGTGTTTATTTACACATCTCTTTGGTTCATTAGGTAAAAGGACTATACACCTTTCTTTTTGCCAACTTGTTTAGTCACGAACCTGTTTTACTTTTTCCCTACCATTGTCAACACACACATAGTCTGTGCACTCACAGGTTGTTCAAAAGGCTCCCACATAGTGCTTTACAAATGTATGGTTTCCAGGATACACTTTAAATTTAACTTGGTGTGCTGTCAGCTTTGAAATGGACTTATGGATAACTAGAAAGGAATTTTGTGCGAAAACCTTCTGTGTGAGAAACTATGTAAGTGAACATATTGTTATGATTTGAAATAAACATAACTTTAATTCTAGGTCTTAAGACTAAGTCATAGGTAATGCCATATTTCTTTAATGTAATTATTTTTTTCAGTGTTTGGATTTGAACTCGGAGCCTTATGCTTGCTCGACTGGTACTCTACTTCTTAGTTGTACCTGCAGCCTTGTTTTTTTTGCTGTTTATTTTTAGAATAGGGTTTTTCTTCCTTCCCAGACTCCTGCCTGGACTGTGTGCTACTTGTTGGAATCTTGATTCTACCAATCTCAGTCTCCCTCATGTCTTGGCATGATACACTTGTACCACAGGGTCCAGCTATGGGTTGAGAAGGAAGTCCCATAAACTTTTCTGGCAATGACTGGCCTTGAAGCATGATTCCCCAATGAGATGCCCAAGTAGCTGGCATTGTAAGTGGGAGACACTAACACCTGGCTTAAATTTTTTTTTTTGGTCAGTCATGGGGCTTGAACTCTGAGCCTGACCACTGTTCCTCAGCTCTTCAGCTCAAGGCTAGTGCTCTACCACTTGAGCCACACACCACTTCTGGTTTTCTGGTAGTTTATTGGAGATACGAGTTTCACAGCTTTTCCTGTCCAGGGTGGCTTTGAACTGAGATCCTCAGATCTCAGCCTCCTGAGTAGCTATGATTACAGGTGTGAGCCACTGGCACCCAGCTTAAATTCTTTTATAGGGATAAAATTTACATGCAGTGAGTGCAGATCTTACATATATGTTTTGTTTTGATACCTGTGTACAACTGTGGGCTATCCCACTCAAAACAGACATTTATATAGTCTCAAATCATACTCTAGACAATACTCACCCCTATCGCCAACACAGTGCTAATTTCTTTCACCACAGATGAATACTTTGTGACCTTTTTGAGTAACACGATTTGTCCATGTCATAGCATCTATGTATCACTCTTTTTGTTTAGTTTTCTATTATATGAATATATCACAATTTTATTCATTCTTGGATAAAATTTTTGTGTACCCATTCTTCTGTTGGAGATTTGGGTTGATTCTAGTTGATTATGAACAAATGCTTTAATATACAATGCTATTAAAAAACTAATACGTGAACAGCCATAGCCAAGTTTTCAGAGGTGCTTTTCTTTGTAAACCAGTTTGATCATGGAAATGGTCTCCTATCTGATAGACCTACAGAAGTGTTCTTAAGTACTGGTGAGGATATTGCTGACAGTATTGTTGTGATCTCACAATGAGAGGACACCTGGTGCTTATGGGACTGTGTTAAAAGACAGCATTCACAGCCTGACCTAATGGGTTCAGGATTCAAGTTTCTCACAATGGGTTCATGCAACACTAATGGGTGGTAGAGAAGATGAATTCTAGACTGGTTACATACAGGGGCATTTTTTATGTTTAATAGTTAAGTAAGCATTCGTTTTCTAAAATCAGTTTCCTTTGATAAATTCAGGAGAGTGATGTACAATCTATAGTCAATACTAGTTTAGTTGGGATTCAAATGATTGAATTTGTAAAATACCAGCTGATGACTCACTGGCTGAATGACACTTAGCAAGTTATTTTCCCAGTTTGTTTCAGGATCTGTAAAATGGTACGTAATGTCTATAAGTACAAATCTCACACTTTTGCTGTGACAGCTAAATGTGCTATGCTTTAGTGCTAGCCCATATTCACAAAGTGAACTGTGGGTATTTCAGCCTAAGAAATCCCTTCTGTATTTTGAATGGACACTTGAGCCAGCTGAAAGTCAGGCTGCCTGCACCCTTTTCCTTGCCTACCCTACTCCCTGGCCAGACTCAGGAAATGGTAATCTTCCTGAGGGTTGAATTCTATATGCTGCTTGATGACATTAGGATAGCAAGATGTCAATATTGTTTCAGCAATCAGGCACCGCATACTGGCACGGGATGATTGATAGTGTGATGACGCTGGGTGGGAATAATTTCTAGTACTTATGAAATGTCCATAGACCCAACTTTAAACATCTGACTTTTCAAGTGTAAGATCCCAGTAACACTCCACATCTCTAAAATCATCTGACAGGGCAGGATGGGAGTGAGGAAGTGTGTGTATGGGGTGGGGGTGGGGGGCAGCCCAGTGGCTTCTCCTTGCCTGTACTGTGAACCACCTAGGGACTTTCCTGGGGTACTGAGGCCTGGACAGAACCCTCTCGGGTTCTGGTTAATCCTCTTGTATTCCTGACATTGGATCCATTTGAGCTTGATCCTCCAGTGTGGGCTGAAGTGGGCCGATTCTGGCTATGCAGAGCCGCAGTCTGCACTCTTCCTGAGGGCAGAATTCTGTGTGTGAGTTGGTGATATTAGTACAACAAGAGCGCATCAATATTGTTCAAGCAGAGCTTGTTTATTCCCACTGCTTGGAGGGAATGGGCTTAGCTTTTTGATCAATGACCCAGGTTTCTGTCATATTTTTCAGTCACAAGTTAGGAGCTTTATAGGCTTCAGATCTTCTGTCTCATTCATAGGCCTCTTTCTGGCTCTGTTATGTCTGTTTTGGAGGGCTGATTAAGTTCTTGGCAACTTGGCAACAATTTGGTATTAGTTGTAGAAATTCTGCCTCTTATAGTGAGGTCAGCCCAGGAAGCTCCAAACTGTTTTCCTATCTACAGTAGTGAAGTCCTTCACCTTAACCCAGACACCAAAACAGCAGGTTCAGGGCAGTGAGTAATTTCATTTTGAAGTCCTGGTATGAGTTCCTTAGGAAAATGTAATAACTTCTGGCCGAGCTGGCCAGGGTATGAGGTGGTCAGGACATAGGAAGGAGGGAAGTCTAACTCTGCCATCTGGTACAAGTATCCATCTAGTAAGCCTGTATCCCAGAAAAATCTCCCCATGTACAGACATTAGCAATCTTCCTGTGGACTTACATTTCCAGTTCACTTTGCTTCCTAATCTTGGACAGCTGTCCATTCATAAAAAGCACCCTTTTCTTTTTCATGTACTCACAATGGTGGACCTGTGATTTTTTTTTTTTTTTAAATCATGCTTGTAGTCTATACGGCAACATATATACAACCCTCAGGGAATATCCAGGCTTTGGGCTCAGGGACAGAAAATGTAAGGCTTTGGAAGATCTGGCTTTGTGCCTCCTGGGGTTAGCAGCCTTTACTGTCCCCACAGATGGAGTAAAACTCACACAGTACTACTGGGAACTCTTGCCTGCAATGTTTGTGGGCTTTCCCTACTCCATCTCTAATCTAGGAATCAGTTTCTCATGGACTTGATCAGCAAAATAATTACTTAGAAATGAGTTGGCTTACTACACTGATGCCAACAAAATAAATACTAAGCCAATGTTCTTATGTAATTACCGAGTTCTTAAAAATGATGCCAAAAGATATCTTTGCCAATTTAGTTATGGCCAGCCTCCAAGATATAATTTTTCTTAGGTGGAAAGTGGTATTAAATACATACAACAATCTGATAACAACAACAAAAACCCCCAACACATTAAAACACATTCAATTCAGGAAATAACAATGCCAAGATGAAGAGAAGGAAAAGCTCTCACTTCATTCTTTGGTGTGGCCTATCTCACACCTGCTTTTCCATATCACAGTCAGAAGATAAACAGAAAACAGGGAACACACTTCCAAGGATGAAATTTCCACATTTATTTTTCTTTCATGTGCATAGAAAATGGCAGTGACGTGTCCTATGAAAGAGGCAGGGAATGGGCATGGAGCTGTGATACCAGCCTGGACTTTGTGCTTCCAAAGTACACTATTCATTGTGAAAACAAAGGATGTCTACATTTGTTTTAAACTGTTAACTGTTCCTCGAGTTACCCATTTGGTTGTAAGCTGTCACTTTCTTCGACTCTCTTTTCAAATGACACACTGCATTACAAATGATGGCACTTAACCAATGTGGCATTTCCATATTTACACCAACAAAAGAAATTTACAAGACATAATAGCATACAATCTTGACATTTAGTAATAGCAATAAAACATGAAGGGCATCCATTTTTTTCTGTACAAACTATCAGAACATAACTTTATTCACATTAAAAAAATCATCTTGAATTTGATTTGACCTACACATACCCCATCTCATTTCACCCATTTCTCAAACCTCTCATCACGGCACCCACACCTTCACCAGACTACAGAATCTACAAGTAGTTAGATCTAACACCTAGATAAAGCTTAGAAAGTCCTCTCCCAAGGTTTTTCTCACTTCCCTGAAAATTCCTCAAAAGAAAATAAAATATGCTCTTCACTCATTCCTTCCATTTCACTTTCATATTTCATCATCAAATCAGCAAGATGGACTTTTCACCTCAATCCAAACAAGGTTAGAAAGAAAGAGTTCCTCTGCCCAGTGTCTCGATGCTACACCCATGAGTCTGGGGACCCTGGGTACTGTTCTGCTCTATAAGAAGGTCGTTTAGTGGAATAAAAGTCTACATAATTTGTGGTTGATTTCAGTCCATACTGTGTTGAGTAATCAGTAGAAGCTGGAAAGTGAACTCGGTCATCAAAATAAGGATCTTCATAGCTATGAGGAGACTGCAAATACAATCTGTAAGCATCAAAATTCTTTCTGTTGGAGTCATCTTGACTATAATACAGTTGTTGATGCTGTTGACAAAATAGAAAGGCAAATGAATGAAAGCACTTCTTGAAAATATACATTGAACATTAATATGGGCTTTCTGTTTCACATTTTTCAAGTAGCATTTGTGGACTTAAGAAGTTGTTTCAGGAACACCCTTTGTGTTTGGAAAGATTTAAATGACACATGTAGGCAGGCTGGCCTGCTTTGCTCAACTCTTGTCCTAAAGAGGCAGCAAGCTGTCTGAAGGGGGCCTATAGGCCAAATTGTGAGGATGGCCTTGATTCTTGCTTTTACATAGCTAACCTTGAGTACTTAATAGATTTAGTTGGGAGCTGCATTTCTGGTCTCAGATAATTGTGTAATTATGCAGTCATCTTTGAGAACATTTACCTCTGGGGATTGAATCCATCATTTAATTAAAAAGTAAACAAAACAAATATGTGTTTTGATGAACAGCAATCTCCCTTTGGAAACTCTGCTATAAGTTGTCTTATTAAAGGGATAAGCAATGTCAAGGTAGGAGAGCAGTAAAATTAGCAGAGATGTGTGAGCACATCTAGTTCCAGGGGAGAAGGCTTCTTCAAGACAGAACTAATGGGTCCATTTGAAGAAAGCAAAGTACACAAATGCGCATCCACACAGGTACCCCACTCCCCGTTTCCTTCTACGCTGCTGTGATCTCACATCAACTTGTCCAAATTATCACGGTTCTTATGTCTTCCTTCTTTATCATACCCAATACCTAGACTCTTCAAATTCACCATATAGATATCAGCATCCTGTTCTAGAACTAAATTCATTCTAATATCTACAGCTAACATCTGGATTTTAAAGTAGAGTTATAATTCTGAGGCTATTTTTCTTGACTAAAATCAAATGAAAAACATAAACTGAGTGTGGTGGTGCATGCCTGAAGTCTCAGCTACTTCGGAGGCTGAGACAGGAAGAAAGCTTGAGCACACAAGTTCAAGACCAGCCTGAGCAACATAGTGAGACCCCCATCTAAAAAAGGTTTCAAGTATGTTTGTCCATCTACAAAGCAAAGAAGGCAGTGTGGAAAGGGGCCTCATCAGAAGGACAGGGTTTATTCCCTTCTTGGGAAAACACAATTGTGTTGTGCTTTTGGAATATAAAAGGAGACATTGGATGGTCTAGGTGGGCCACTGCCTCGAGAAGGCCCTGACACTGATTACAGGGCCCTTGTGACAGCAGAACAAGGGTCTTCCAAATACACAGGACACTGGCGTGAGAGCAGCCGCATTCCAGCAGGGGCTGAGTTCGCTTTGACCTCTGAGAGCCTCGAGGCCAAACCTCAGGGCTTCTAAATCATGGAGCTGGGACAGGGAAGCAGTTATGAGGATGGAGAATGAAGTCTCTGGGAAGAAAGGATAAGAGATGAGAATAAAGTATGTGCCCCAACCTTTCCTCGTCCAGAAGACAGAAGTTATTTCAGAGCTTAGTGGGGGCAGGCAGGACTGGGGGACATTGTTGGGTACAGAGCAGAGCACACGTTAGGGACTCAGCTATCCCCAGCATTGGGGTGCAGTCTTAGTGGCACCGATGGATATTCAAGAACAGGAAGCCACCATAGAAGTAAACCATGGGTACATTTCTGAGGGCAGATTTCCTCAGGCCCTGCCAAGCTGGCCCAGCTTTGGGAAGTCAACCCGCATTGGACCCCTTATGTGTTATTGCTAATCGGCCTTCTGTACAAAAGATATTGCAAATTCACCTGTAGCCGTCTATTTTGTTCTCTTGCTGGTGAGGAATAGGAACTGATGTAAATTGGTGAAGGTTTGCTGGAGCCTGTAAGAAAATATTTTATGAAATTAAAACTAATGCTCATTATTCTGATTCATTATGACTGTTGTAGTGTCCCCACAATAGGGCTACTAGTGCTGTCCCCAACAGGGCTTGCCTTCCCCAGAGCCAAGGCAGACTGAGAGACAGCAGTCATGGCTCCCTGGATCTGGCCTGGCTGCTGTGTAGCCTGGGGCTGGCTGGGGCTAAGAGCAAAAATAAGCCATGTGTGCTTTAGCAAAAAAGCAACATCAAGGCATACCTTATCCCTCAAGGGGTCCTTCTCAAGCTCTGCTCAGCAAGGGGGGATTTCTCTGCTTGGCTTTGAGCAGCAGCACTCATCTAACGTTCTGAGCTTCAGCAAGATCAGAGAGAAGGTAGACACAGTATTAGGCTGAGCTCTGTGCTTTCAGAATGACTGTGATCCAGAAGTGCAGGTTCTGGGAAGAGCAGGCACAGGCATGTTCTCAGTAATGGGGCCACATGTGTCCGCCATGGGGAAGTGGGTTGTGAAATGAAAAGAACTTGGTAATGGTGTTTCAGAGTCTACATTAGATTACTGATGACGTCACTAGTTAGCTACCTATTTTTAAGGCTACCAAAGATTTTAATTTTTTTTTTCTAAGAGGGAGAATGAAACTTACTGGAGGCAAATTAGTTTATTGAAGCAAGCAAAGGAGACACAGAAGGGCATGCATATGGAAGGAGGAGCCTTTAAAAGCAGGCTGCTGTGCATCTCGACCAGCCATACATTAGAGTTTGTATGTGCACTGCCTTCTGCACAGAGCCTGGTATTTGAAATGTAGCATCTGCAATTTTCTGAGCTATTAATTGCCATGGTAACAATAGTCGATTAGTAAACAGTCCTGTGAACTCACAGTTTCAAAGACAATGGTACAACTGAGACTGTTCCCCCAGCAGTAGTTAAGTTGCCACCAGCTTTTATTTATTTCCTTTTAATAAATAAGATTTGTTTTTTCCTTTGAGGCAAGAGTACTCTTGGTTGGGTGGGGAGGAGACCTCAAATTGATTTGAAACTTCTGGTACAGTTAAGTAATTTTTCTGAAGACCTTTATGAGTATGATATGAAACATTAATGTGTTATATATATTCATTATTCTTAAAAAAATAACCACTGAGGAAAATCACCTCATACATTCACTTTTTTCCAAGGAAAAATAAATGGAACTGATCTCTGGTTTGAATTTGGAGATGAGCCAGTCTAGAAGATGTAGGCCTTGTAAAACAACATGGAGCCCAGGGTTATGATATGAGGAACAAAAAGAGAGAGACTGCCAGGCAGGGAGGAAGTGGGTCAAGAGGACTGCCCCCTGGGCAGTAGGAATGATCTCTCATTTGAATTCAATCCTCCTTTTACTTCTGACCACCATTTAGTTACTTAGCTTAGTTTGCTTACAACAAGTGGAAAAGGCAATGATCCTAGGAAGCGGGAAGAAGGGTCAGGAACATGGTTTACTGCTGGGGGACCATTTCAAGACAAGCACAAGCTATTTCGCAGGACACTGGCTGAATGCCCAGAAATGTGGCTTTTTGAGGTACTGTATCACACACCCAACTGGTGTCTTACCGGGGTACAGGCCTTTATGTGTGGCATCCCCTTGGCTATTGTAATACTGCATAGGTGGCTGGGTCCTATCGTACTCAGAGCGGTCTCTGATTCCTAACAGTGCTGGTGAGGAAGAGGTGCTGCCGACTGAAGGAGAGGCAAAGGAGGAAGGAAAGAAAGAAAAAGAGAGAGAGAGGGGGAGAGAGAGAGAAATCAGATTATCAGTGTCTTTGGAAATCTTCTCAGGGAAAACAAAGGTCAGTCATTAGAAAGCCACACAGTTGGTACTTAAAGTCAGCCTTGAGGATGCTAGGAGTTGAGGAGCAGCCAGATCTGGGGATCTGGAATGCGCACCCTGTAGATTGAGCACGGTTAGCACCAGCACTGGCCACAGCCCCGGGTCTTCCAGGCAAGAGTGAGGAGCACACTGCAGGGCCCAGCACAGTCATGCAGCTTTGCCAGCACCGTGTCTACTTGCTCAGCCCTCAGAAACTTCACAGCCATGCATGAGTTACACTTGCTATCTGGCCATCCCAGTTTGGTTGCTTTTAAAACACCCGTCAATTATCTTTATGAGTAGCTCTTTCAATAAACAGATTTTATGGCACGTTTTCATTTCTATTTCAAAAATATCTGCATCTCTCAATGTGCTTGATTAATAAGAGTGCCTATGTTAATGAAGATTTATAATTCTCATTATGGTAGTCTATAGTCAGGAAAATCATGCAAGTTCAGTAAGGCTGAGGAAGTCCATCAGGAAGCTCCTGGTGCTAAGTCTGGACCTCACAAGGCTCAGATGTTTTATCCCAGTTTGGGCCGAACATCTGATAATGACAGATCCATTCATAGGTCATTATTAGAGGTATTTTTTCTTTTCTTTCTTTTTTTTTTTTGCACAGAAGGGAGAAACAGTCCATATATTCATTATAAAACCTGACTAGCATGAAAGTTAGTTACAAATTAAGAGTGGCTTATTCATTTTATCCACTTAACAGTCCCCCAACCTTGAGCCCAGTGGTTTGATAGGCAAAGATGCCTTCAAAAGGAAGCTGACGTTAATTGGAGTACTTTTCCTATGTCACTTTCACTGACAAGCTGCAGGTGTTTAATACAGGTAAGCACACATAGGCAGGGTATATAGGACACTCAACTTTGTCTGCTTTCTGGAAGATGGTAGGACAGAAATCACTGGCTTGCTTCCTATAATTGCAGGTATTTCCATATGTAGAGCCTGCACTAGTGCTAAAGGATGGAAGGTAAGTATTAAGAATAGCTCTAGAAGAAGAATGACATATAACTTACCCCAAAGAATGCAAGGGTTACTTAGAAATGGGGCTGGGGCCAGCTGTTTTTTTTTGGTCGGGCCAGGGCATTGTTCCTGAGCTCTTTTGCTCAAGGACAGTATTCTACCACTTGATCCACGTGCTACTTCTGGTTTTTGAGTGGTTAATTGGAGATGAGTCTCATGGGGAATTTTCTGCCATGGCTGGCTTCAAACTGCAATCCTCAGATCTCAGCCTTCTGAGTAGTTAGGATTACAGGTGTGAGCCACCAACACTGGGCAACTTTTCAGCATGTATGTCTAGGAGGTCCAAAGAACAAGCTTGTTGCTTAATAACTATATGTTACTCTGAGATGATTCCCTAAGTAGCAAATCTCTTGCTTCCCTTAACACCCCTCTTTTTAAGTCCCTAAGGATTATTCTGTAAAAGAAGACAGCCTCAGGCGTCTCAAGGAGATTAAAATCAAGACAGACATAGGGCTCTCTGGAGACAACTTATGATTTTAAAACAAAGATATAAATATCTACCATACATAGTAGGTACAGTTAATGTAAAAAAAATTCCTAGTACAATTGGGACCTTCAATTTATTGGCAACCACTAGACCTGTATCATAGTTTTTTGGCTACATTTGTTTCCATGAGCAATAGGATGGCAGCACATTTGACTACAGCAGACTACCCCACAGGTGTCAGAACGCACAGTTTAAAGCCAAACAAAAATACAGACTCAATTAACTTTTCTGTTTTACTCAAGAATTAAATTCACTGGACTGACTTGGCTTGGTAGTCATAATCTGCCCTTACCTGTAAAAAAAATTTAGGCTGCCTCTCCAATCATTCCACCAAGTTGAATGCTACAAATAGGTAGAGGGCACAGTTGTCAGGACTTCTAACTTAAAAATGTGAGAGAATTTCTATGAAGCCATCTGTGAGGCTTGTTTGCAGGGCTCTAAGTGCCAGTGGCCTTCAGTGAAGCCAGGGGACCAGGAGGTTTCACTGGAAAGGAGATGGCACTTAAGGCTGTGGGTCTAAAGATCTCAGTTCAAGAACCCTGTTCCTAAGTGGTTTCAAAACTGTAATTCAAAAGTCAGTTTGAAGCAGATTCCAAATTTATGGCCAGATGGAGACAGGACATTACCAGTATGCCCCGAGTGCGGCCTCACTACTCCAGTCCCCTGCATTAGTTACCCACCAAAGGCTAGTTACCTAAACCTAGTAAAACAGAAGCAGAAGTTGGAGGAAGCCCTGGCTTTTTTTTCAGGCACCATAGCTGATATAAACAGTACAAACTTTTCAAGTGTAAGGAAGAAAGTGGGCTTATTATTTACCACAGTAGCAATTCCCAAAGAAGACTCTGTGCTTGAGGTGTTTAATCTTCCCTGGTGGGGAAACAATATTCTGTCATGTGAATGTTCTTGGAAAGGAGTGGTATTTGCTCACTGACCTGACTGAAGGATGGGTGACATTTGTTGGTTGGTGGTGGACAAGGAAGGATGTGATTTGAATCGGTCTCGCTCTAACGTTGACACAGGTGTAATAAAATGGTTCTGGTTCCACCCATCCTGGAGAGTGAAAAGAGAAAAAGAAAGCTCTCAAAATGAATAATGGCATTTCCCACAGTAAATGATTAGGAAAGTGTGTTCTGATGAATGCTAATTAGGCCAGAGCTATTCTTGCAGGTTACCTTTCTGTAAATGCTCCGGAGATCCCGATATTGCCACAGTGTATTCAAGACCTGTGCTGCTGCCTTCACCACTTTCAGAGATGACCTAGGGAGAGAGCACTAGAGATAAGGAATCCAGGCAGCATGGCCTCAGGCACCACATGGCCAAGAAAGAGGCTGTTGCTCTCAGGATCAGAAGGACAGAGGCTGCTGCTGGGAGACATCACGAGCAATCATGTGTGCCTGGGAGTTCAAGAACTGACCAGCAATGACAGGAATCAAAGTGAGGCCCTCAGGCTATCAGATGAGGCCAAGACGAGCCTCAGTGGGGGGATGGTTTAGCTGTCAGCACTAACCTCCCTTCAGATCTGTCACGGGACCCCTGGTGCTTTGGGATTAAGGTGACTAAGACCACATATCCTGTGTCTGCAACCACCCCAAATTAATGTTTTCTCCTTCATTATGAGGACTTTGTGTACATACTTTCATTGCCTTGTCATTGACACCTCTATGTAGACAACTGTACTAAGTTCTAACAGTCAATTTGGAAAATATGGTTCTAAGTCATTGCTTCCACATAGATGAGTAGGCACAGCTTTCTGTGTCAGGTAAGGTCTTCTGCTCACCACTCTGTGTGTGCCTGTGTGTGCGTGCAATATGGACCAGTGCTTGGGGAGTGAGCCCTAAGGATAACCTAACACTTCTGTCTTCAGAATACACTTCAACACTGAATGTTAGTGAAGTGGAGGGAGGAGAAAGGTATGCGGGCTGTAAACCATGTCTTTTGCCCCCAACACTGTAATGTGAGCTGTCAAGTTCTGAGGGCTTAGGAAAGGGTGGAACATATGCAAATTCAGGGGTTTCCCAGGCTCTGGTGGTGTTGGTGAGACCTCTCTGCATTCACCTCCATCTTTCTTCACCCCAGTTCAGCATTCACCTTCAAATATGACAAGTGTAGCACTTGACAAGACCGGACCAAGCCTGGTTTATGATACTGAGACAGCAGCTATTTGGAGGCACAAGTTCTATGAACAGAAACCTGAACCTTGAGAAAAGGAACTGTCTCTACTCTTCTCCAGTACTGCTCCTTCAAATATATATTCACATCTCTAATTTCTCATCTTCTATTTCTTTTGAAATGCTGGTATGGAGGCTTGAACTCAGGGCCTGGGCACTGTTCCTGAGCTTCTTTTGCTCAAGGCTAGCTTTCTACCACTTGATCCACAGCTCTATTTCTGACTTTTTCTGTATATGTGGTACTTGAGGAATCGAACCCAGGGATTCATTCATGCTAGGCAAGTACTCCACCACTAAGCCACATTCCCAGCCTCGCTCAGCTGTCTTTCTTTCTTTCTTTCTTTCTTTTTTTTTTTTTTTAAGAATTTCTGGACAAGTCACAATGGTAAGAAAACTCGGCAGAGCTTTATTAAGTAAACAAGCAAGGAAACAGACAAAAATGCAGACACACAGAAGGGCAGGGGCACACTCTAGCAGAGTGTGGGTGCTCTCATAGGGACACAAAGACACAGATACACACACACAGACAAGGAGACACCCACAGAGTCACCTCACTCAGCTTTCTTACTCATGGCTGGTTAAGCCACACCTCCAGTCCAACTACACTGTAGTCCAGGATGGCTTTGAACTCATGATCCTCCTGTCCCATCTATCAAGTGTTCGGATTACAAATACAAACCACCCTTGGCTCCTCTTCTCACTAACATCTCTTACTTCTCTGGTGCTGACAGTCTGTTTCACTTCTCCAAATACATCACTTAGATTATTGCTGATTTCCAAATTTCTACTTTCAGTCTGAGCCCCAACCTTGACTCAGCTCATACACTCTTGCTGACAGCATACTCAACCTGAAGGACTAACACACATCTCAAATGTAACAAGTCCAGATCAAACACCGGCTTATCCTTTTGAGGGATTCTCTATCTTGGTAAGTGGTAGTTCCACTCTGGGTCTTATTTGCCAAGGGCCTTGAAGTCATCTATGAGGCTGTCCTCAGTTGCACATGAACCCCCCAGCAGACTCCACAGAGTTCCACCAGAGGTCGGGCCTTTGTCACCACCTTAACAGCTGCTCCCATGCTTGTTGCTGGATTCAGGTAATTTTGATCTATATTCCTCCCCTGATGAATGCTCTCCCATGGCTTGAGTTTTACTTAAGAGAGTTTAAAACAAATTTATTATTCTGATCCCCAGAGTGCTGCATGCTCTACAGGAGCTTCGTGCTTCTCTGACTTTTCTCCCTGCCCTGGCTGTGCTCCAGCCTGCCTTTCTACTGCTGCCTTCTACCACAGGGCCCTCTCACCTGTTGTCCCTTTGGCTGGAATGCTCATCCTCCATAGAGCCACACTACTCCTTGAGCCTCTGGGTCTGTGCTCAAAAGGCTCTATCCCCACAGCACCTTCCCTTAACCTGCCATGTCTTGTCCCCTTTCTATGATGTTACATTTGTCCTACCCTCAGCATCATCTGCCATGTTCTGTGTGCCGTTACTCACACAGTGCCTAGCCTACCTGTCATGGGGCTGCAGGATCTGCCTTCTCTGGCTAGGCTCACAGCACAGAGACAGTGCCTGACACATAACAGCTAGGAAATAGTTACTGGATGGAAGAACCATGAGGGGCTTCAGTGTGTGGAGACAGAAGACAAACTTGATTTGATCCAGGACTGATTTGTTTTGAGAAAGAATGGGTCATGATCTTATTTTTAAGTATGTGCAAGTTTGGCACAGGCTTGGTGTTTCTACAGCTTTTTCTTGTGCCTTGCACAAGTGCAGGCTACACGTGATTACGGCCACCTCAGGAGATGGGGAATCAGGAGTATGGGACCTTAGCTCTATCTGTAATGTTTCATTTCCTTGAAGATAACAAGGAAATTGTATGCATTTGTTACTCATGCAATAACAATACCTTATATAAAGTGACTGAAATATTGTTTATGTTGGTAGAGGGTTCTAAAGGGTAAGAATATAATTTGTTACATTTCTCCTCAATTTTCGAAATCCCTTCAAACATACAGACTGAAAGACTGAGACATCACATGAATTCTAGCACTGTCATTTAGCTAATCAGTAAGTATTCTCTGAGCACCTATTCAGGGCCAAGCTCTGTTCTAATTAGGACACAGCAGCGAATGAAATGACAAGTCCCTGCTACTGGGAGAGATGGATTCTAAAAAAAAAAGACATGAATAACACATGTTGGTAGGGATTAGAGCTAGGAAGGAAATATAGTGGGGCATAGGGTGGAGAGTAAGGGGAGGTGTACCATTTCCTCACAGAGCAGGGTGGCTGTTATCCTGTTGTTTTGAGACAGTGTTAAACATCCTTGCTTATCATTTCACTGGTTTGAGCCCAAAGGAAATTTATAGTCACTGCTATAATTCCAGGCCAAGAGCCATTTTACTTTTGCACTGATGGTCTCTTCCATACTTGTGCTGTTTCATCAGTTAGTGTCATCCAGAAACAAAGGGAAATGTGTGGCGAAGCCCAGGGCACATTTTGAGGCCACACTACAGACCCTTTGCAGAGTGGTAGTGTTCACGCTTCCTAGGTCCCTGGCAGTGGAATCAATCCCCAAACTGCGCATTCAAGATTTTTTTTTTTTGTAAAAACATGCCCTCAGGCTTGGAGGAGAGCCCAGGGCACCAGAGAGATGCCGTCTATCCCTTCAGGATTTCTTCCATACTGGCATTTCTAATTCTTCTAGGAGCTGACATGAACAAATGTGGCATTAGAGACTGCTATGGTCTGAAGATTTGTTTCCCCAAAATTCCTATGTTCAAGTCCTGACCCACAATGTGTTGGTGTTTTCTTTGGGAAAAGAGGCCCAAGAGAGCCTCACCACACCACCATGTGAAGACATAGCTAGAAGTCACCAGCTATTAACCAGAAAAGGGCCCTGCTTTCCAAAATGATGAGGGATAGTTTATGCCAATGACCAAGAACTCAGATCAGGATATGTTATAGCAGCTTGAGCAGACTAAGACAGAGACAGAAAACAGGATAGGAATAAGGGATGTTAAAATAAAATGAAAGCTAGAGAAAAGGCCACATGTTGTAAAAATGCTTCTTCCAACATTAGGGTTCTAACTGCTGGCTTAGCTTGTCAGCACATATGAAATACAGAAATAATTCCACAAAGGGCGCAATTACAGGGAAATGCCAGGGAAGAATGCTTTACTTGTGGCCCTGCCTTGTAACACACTTGCCTGTCTCCCCTGCCTTTGGTTATGTTCACCAGCTTCTCGATGCCTCCTGAGTCAGCCAGGGCCTTGGCATTCTCCATGTTTTTGCTGGTGACCTCATGCAGGGCACAGCAGATGGCTGCCATGGTCTCGTCTGATAGTATGCTGGGGCCGTTGCCTCCTGGAAGCCGGTTGACCAGGTCTCGCATGGCATATTTACCTGACAAATGCAAAAGACTAAATTCTCCTTTCAAAAAGTATGGTTTTATTTGTTATTGCTGTTGAATACCCTGATACTATAAAGGATTAAAAAAGAAAACCCACAGCAAAGAAGAAAAGCACACGTGTTAACGTTTACTGTCATGCTTCTTGAACACGATTGATTTACAAAACCTTACTGTCAATTGCAAAAAGAAATATGTTATTGCACAAAACCAAGTAGAATGACCATGTTACTTTAAGTATTTTCAATAATAGTGTGTAATAGGGAATTAGAATAGTAAGTTTTATTCTTAACTGTATTCTACTGCAGCAAAATACCCCAATTTCCTCTGGAAGCACTTTAAAACTTACCTTCAATTCTGGACCAAGCAAGGCTGCCAACAATACTTTTCATTAAACCTTCCTGGGTCTCAATGTGTAAACTGGGCATAGTTGGAGTTTTATTAATTGAGGTGTACATCAGCCAGTCTGACATTAGCAGCAGCAATGTGCTATTCTCTTAAAGAAGAATTTTGCTATGCAGCATATAGGTATGTTATCTCCCAGGAGTAATGCAATAATAATAAGGTAATTGATAGAAGGAGACTGAGGGAGTTTCATAGCTATTGAAGCAATTCTTTATAAATACTGAGTTTCTCTTACTCCTCTCTGAAAATAGATTATCTCCAGCCTTTTCAATTTCAATTACCAACTGACAAACTGAGACAAATGCACTCCAAACAAAAGAAATTAACTAAAGCTCAAGTAAATATTTTCTTAAGTTTTATTTTTTTCCCCCTCTCTATGCTAATGGAGAGGTTAGTAAATGGGGTTTTCATCAAAGACCTATTTATATACAGTGGTATATGTACTGACAGGCTGCTGCAGGTTGTGTAATTTCCTGTATGTCTGAAGAATGCTCTAGCTTACTCATAGCAAACATTGTTAAGAAGAGCAGAAAAACAGCGATGACACTGGAAGCTCAGAAGATAAATGTGGTATTTCAGCACAGATGATAAGTTAGCATTGCTGATTTTGAATACTCACGGACGACCAAAAGGTATATGACATGCAATTTGTCATTTTGCTAAGGCATAACTTTCAATTGCACTGCTGGGGCTTGAATCTCTGCCTCTGAATAAGCTCAGCTGCCCCTCAGATCCCACAGTTCCAGACAAAGGTGGGCCCCACTCAGCTGAGTGTGTAGTAACATTGATAATATGCATATGTATATATGTTTATTGTTGTTGCTTTGGTGAAAAATGGTCCTGAATAGAAAGTCTATTGCTAGTGCTGGCTGGGGCTGTAGAAAGAAAGAGGTGGTCAGAGAAAAGGGCCGGCACAGGGAACAGAAGTGCTGGGTAAAGTAAAGCGGAGCAGTGAACCCAGTAGGGTTCTGATCTCACAGATAAGGAATCTTCACAAGGACATAAGAAAAAAAATGATCTTGTATGCTTGGTCTTCCAGGTGTGGAAAGTAACAAGCCAAAAGATGTGTAAAGTCTTTTTTTCCCCCTTTAGGAACTCACATATGATATGTGCTTCTTATAAGAAATTTGAAGAATATGGATGAGGGAGGGGATGACACTGTTCAAAAGGAGTACTCATCATCCAACGCATATAACTGGAACTCCTCTGTACATCATCTTTGAAGCAAAATTTAAAAATAAAAATATGTAAACATTTAAAAAACAACAAAAACAAAGAATATGGAAAAAAAAGTATTTCTTTAGGGTTTCTCTCAAGGAGGTGTGGGAACTGAGAGTTACGGCCTATCTATTAGAATCATGTAGGAGCAGGATCTGACACGCTTGGAGTGACTTCCCCGCTTCTCGGTGTGGGATGATGGCTTAAAGGAGCTTTGTGTTAAAAGCAGGCTAATCTGGACAATAACTTAAGCAATTCTGCGAGGCACTGTGTCACCACATTTAATCCTCATGGCAACTCTAAGGTAAATGAAATAGTCATGTTCTCTCTCCCTCATTTTCACCACACATACATTTTAATATAAGCCGAATCTAGAGTCATGTGACACCAGCTGTGAGGCTGTGGGAGCTTGTCCAGGTGCAGGAGTTGCCCTCAGCCTCCCTCATTTCCTCCAACTGTTAAGTCCTGGCTGTATCATTAGGCAGTGTTGGCTCCCTATCAGGGTCTTCTAAGGAAGAATTCCTTTCCAACCCAGATGAAGGAGCTGAGCCAGTGTAGGGTTATAAAGGACACTCTGGCTACAGGGACAGTGAGTAGCAGGTCCAGGATTGAAGTTCAGGATTATACAGGATCCCTAATCTTTCCTTTACTGCATGCACTACTTCTTCCAGGCAGTTGCAATTCTAGAGACAAGCAAGTTATGTTGGTGTAAAATATATGGAACCTCACTCTTGATTTCAGACATGTGCCAACTCTACCTTTGTGTGAAAGCCTTAAAATTTTGTGCCCTAGATGTCTTGCTTATCTCATCCTAGTTCTGATCCTGCTCTGAGTTAGAAATGGCCAACGTTTTTGTTCTAGAGTGAATGTTCATGCAGGATCTATGAGGGAAAAGCTACCAAACAGCTGTGATTATTTTTACTCCTCTTTGTTCTCCTCTTTTCTCTCCCTGAATTTTGTCTTGCCTCTCTTCTTTTCCTCCTTCTCACCTTCCTCAATTTAGAACGTGGTAGAGCTGATGAACTGGCAGATATCAGTTCAAAAATTAGAACTTTGTTGTTGCTGTTGCTGCTTGGGAAGCAGAAATGTCAAAGCTACTCATGTAATCTACAAGTGGAATGGAAATCCATCTTCTTTGACAATGTTTTATTAACGAACCTGTCTCTTACTAAAAGAGAATGGTCAGAGTGAGGGGCCAAACATACCCAGAAACTGGGAACTACAGCTCAGTGGTAAATAATCTTAAATGTCAGGCATTTATAAATTAACAGAGGAAAATGTAAACATTGTTCTCCTTTGTACTTTCCCTCATTGCCAAAACGTACCTATAAGCTCCTTGTTGCGAACGTCCAGTGCCATGTTCCTCAGGGCAGTAGCCACAGAAGAGACCACTCTATCGTTATCCATCCTCAGAAGCTCTACAAGGATGGGGAGCCCTTTTTCCTTTCGGACAGCTGCCCGGATGTATGCTGCAAACTGGGGAGCAGAATAAGGCAATCAGTAATTTCACATAGAGTTTCCGTCTCATGTTACTGCAATCGAAAAAGGATGCTTCCAAGAGATGAACTAATAAATTAAATGTTTTCTTCCCAATTGGAGATTAAATCTGTGGTGCCAGATAGAGAAAAAACAGAGTTTGAGAGAAAGATAGGCTGGGATGACTGATTTAAAAAGAAATCCCAAAGCCTGCAGATCTGAAACCACCATCTGTCAGATATTTTTGTGCGTAACGGAGAAAGCAGTGATTACTTTCTATCTGAGATACATAAACATGATTAAGGAAGGACGGTGTGTTTTCTTCACATTTGGCTCTGTGCCAGGTCTAGAGGCTATAAATAGGCTGGTGGAGACAGTAATCAACCCATCAGTATATGTGAAAGGAGAGCCTGTCTCCATCCGGGCACTTCATATTCTCTGTAAAAATGTAGATTTCAGTAACTTATTAAAGATATTGCTTAGAAAAATCCTTCACCTTAGAAGAAAGGAAATTCTCCAGAAACATTAGCATCATAATTCACATACACTGAAAGAGGAAGTATGATAGTGTGCAAAATGCATTCTCATTCAAGATTAGTTAGCTACTTTACACAATATGAATTGGAAATGAATGCTAAGTTAGCAGTAAAACAACCAAAAAGCCCATTAGAAAATGGATCTTTAATCTTGTTTTGAGCTATGAGCTTTATTTGACATTTTTATCAATGCAAATCATCCTTTAAAAATCAGGAAAATTGAAAGATGCTGGTCACGAAACATCAAGTGTCTTCTTGCTGTGGCAAAGTCATAAGGACAAAGATCTACCTCCCCTGTGTATTACTGTGAACGTTAAAATATGTGATTGACCTCCTAGTCTCTTGAACACCAACATAATAATGCAAATAAGAGGAATAGCTGCCTTTCAAAGATCTGATGTTAATCAGATGAAATCATACCTTTATTTCCAAACTCAATGAAATCTACAGGTGAGGAAGACAGGCTACATATGCTGAAGAAGTCTGATTGACTTCTAATTGAAACTTGAAGGATGGACTCCTTCCTGCTTCACGTGGAGACCAAGACGCCCACCTGACCCAACCCTTCCTAGACTAGTCACCAGGGCGCCTCAAATAGTGCTGACTCGATCATAACTGCAGTCAGAGTTCTCTTGTTTTCTTAGTGAGATTCCAATATTTTAATTAACTATGTCTGATACATGAAAGCACCTAAAATACAATGCTTATATTTTAAATGAGCTTGTCATTGGACTTGTATTCACTGACTGATCTAATTCTAAAAAAACTAAAATCCTATGTACTTTATTGTCATTTTTAATATCAAACAGTCCTTTGCTCACTAAAGCTATACATATGGCTATACATACATATTTATAGATCCTTATTTTCCAGGAACTGCCCTCAGTCTTCCACATTTAATCTCAGTAATCCTTACAACCATCTCATAAGGTAACTTCATTTTACAGATAAAGAAATTGAAGACAGAGATCATAGGGCCAGATTATATGTAAAGGGGCAAGGAGTCTGAGCCAGCACTTAGCACTAAGTTTGATTAGGAATGTTAATTAGGAACAATAACAACAAAATATATTGGCTATCATAAATGTCTGTATATATTCAATTATGGCAGCTACCTGCAGGAAACAAACCATACCAGGGCCTTTTAGTGGTTTTTATACAGTATAAGGAGGCAGAGACATGAGACCTGAGTGCTGTGTAAGAGTGTCCAAGAAAGGACAAAGGGAGCATCTGTCTCCTTCCCCATGGTGCTGCCTGACCTAAGCACTAACTTGGGCTCCTGTAGTCTCTCAATTGAATGCTGTTCTGGCTCTCAAAGGGAGCCCTAACTTCTCCTTCTCCTCAATTCCCTCTCAGCCAGGCCACAGCAATAATCCAACAGCATCCATATGGGCCTCTGTCACTCATCTGCTGAAACGCTCCCGAGCCTCCTTTCTGAAAACCAGGTCCCTGTCCTGAGGCTTGGCCTTTAGGCCTGAATGTTATGCGTGGCTCTAACTCAATCACTCCTGGCCCACTTTCTCCATGGCCAGCCTACAGTCTGGATCATTGCTGTCCTTCCTCCTCTTACAGAAGGCTTTATTTTTGTTGTCCCTTTATCTGCATTGCCCCTTCTATACTACAACTTCAGACCCTGTGGACTTAGTTTTACTCCTCCATAGAGATTCAGTCTGGAAGCACTGTCCTGCAGGAAGCCTTCCACTTCTGCTCCACTTCTCCCTAAGCTCTCTTTCCCGTCCTCTTTCAGGATCCCATAGCATAGTACCTGTGTGCTCTATCCTGAACTGCCAACAGTCTGCTTTGTTCACTGGCCTTCAGATTCCTACTGCCAGGCACTCTGCTGTATTTGTCTTTGGCTCCCCAAATCAACTGCTTTTCTCCTTTTCCATCTCTCTTTCTTTCACAGATAAACTCTACAACACATCCCTTTCACATCAAAGCAGATCTGGCTGCAAAGATGGAAAAGAAGTGTAGATAGAGGTATACATCCTACCTTCCAGTTGCCAGCAGAGAGGTTCTGTAGAGATCCAGCAGAGCCTTCCAAGGTGGCTGGGTTGGAACTTTCTGCTAGAAGAGTCAGATATGGTTTTACCACTGACGGATGCCACAGCATCTCAACTCCCTTTGGAGATTTTGACAGTCCTGGAATAGGGCCAACTCCATCCCACTGCAAGACAACAGCACAATAAGTGGAAGCAAAATGACAATTACCTTCAACAGTTGAGAACCTTCATCTTTGTGGGACTCAGATTTAACTATGTTGAAAATTTTGTTCTTGCCCAGTATGTGAATTCATCCCAGAAAAAGAAAACATATAAAATAAAATGCTAGCCTGATCCTCTTGTGGTGTCCTCTTTTTCTTTTTCTTCTTCTTCCCCCAGCAGCTTGGCTCCGAGTCTTTGCTGGGAGACTCTTTCCCTAGCAAGTCATCGAGCTCGTTCAGCCCGAGCAGCCGTGCCTGAGGGACCTCGAGCTCCAGCCGATAGGACAGGTTCCTCAGGGTGCACACGCAGTTCTCCACCGTCTGAAACCCAACAAGGCGCAAGAAGTGTTTCCTTTGCTGCTGCTGCTTTTAATGTACTATGTGATTTTTTTTGTTTGTTTCTTTTGTATGTTCTTCCCCTATGGTATAACCTCTTTGTCACTGTATTTCATTCTGGTGCCCTGAATCTTGTATATACATTTTTCTAACATGGGGAGGGAAAGGGAAATAACAAAATGCTGAAACAAGGAAACAGGTTGACCCACTGTAACAATGAGATGTACAAGACACTATGTTGAAAAGGATCTTTACAACTTTGGAGGAGTTGGGGAGGTGGGGAAGGAAGGAATGGTAGGGGAAAAACAAAGGAGGGGGTAACAATGCTCGACAGGAAATGGACTCATTACCTTACTCATGTAACTGTAACCCCTCTGTACAGTATCTTTATAGTAAAAAAATTGTAAAAACAAAACAACAACAATAAAACCCCACCACACTAAGTACTTCTGTACTTAGCACACTCAAAGGAAATAAACGAGAAGGACAAAGGAACTATGTCTTCATTTATGTGAACCTAAAATAACCTAAAGAAAAAAATATTCTAGAGTTTACTCAAATGGTAGGCTAAAGACGTCCTCATTATAATCGAGGATCTGATTCTATGCTCTAAAAATGCCCCAGGCTCTGGCTCAATGCTGCTGAAGGTTACATTGTACACAACACTATTCTGCTATCACTGCAGGTCCTTAGCAAGACACATAGTACCAAGGCCTCCCTGCTTCCTCCTCCATCTCCCACCACCCCTTCCCTCTGACAGATGGCCACTGATTTCTTCCTATTGGGCCTTTGCTTTCTTCATATAATCTTTTGTTCTTAAAAATTTGTACCACACATCTATGATTTCAACTTCAGTCTCTCTTAGACTCATCGGCTCAGCACTTGTCTACCTAGTTTGTCTACCAATACACTTAACCTGTACTCAATTTCATTATACTTAACCTGTGCTCAGCTGTTCTTGAACCCATTCTCTGCTTTTTCCCTAAGCCTATCACTCATCATCCCCACCCCACCCCCTACTCATCTTTATGAGCCAAGGTCTACCAATGGCTTCTTTATCCATGTATAAAGACATGGATGTATCCTGACACCATGTATCTGGCCCACTCTGGAACTCTGGATACTTTGGGCTCAATCTTCCTTTTCTGACCACTTTCTTCAACCCCCTCGGGAAGCTCACCTTTGACTGTCACAGCTGGAAAACGACACATAGTATGCCCTATGCTCAGGAAGGATGGAGAAAACAAGGGTTCATGAAGAAGCTTGGCCTGAGAAGACTGACCACAGGCCAGGGGCAGGAGGAAAAGACATGGAGGAACATTAGAAGGAGGTATGGGTTGTGGGCTGCACTAGGGTGAGAAAGGTAGAGACTCCTGACTAGGAACCTTTACTCAAATGGGTGGCTCTGTATGTAGGAATTGGAAGCAGCAGCAGCAGGGATGTTAACCTAGAGAGTGAGCCTGGGAGGACAGAAGAGGAAGTGGGACTCAGGCTAGGGCCTTTATTATACCCAGTCATGAGAATTTAATGGTTCTAGGGCTATTTTTGTCAGTTCTCAAGTCCCTGTCTCTTCCAACTTGCTATTCTTAGAGACTCATATTTTGATCCACAAGATATTCTTACAAATTGCTCCAAAATTTCAGAGAATTGATGGCATGCAAATAGTGTTTGGCAGCAGTTGTCACCTGCCAGTCTGCGATGGATACACCAGGCCACTGACCTTGCTGTCATAGTCAGATGTGTTCACACACGTGTGGATCACATACAACAGCGAGTCCACCAGCCCCTCACAGGATCTCATTTGTTTCCGTGCTTCCTCCCCTGCAGAGCTGAGGTTCCTAAAGGAGTGGACACAAATGGGAGCCGTTGAGATGAACAACTCACTCATTAGCCATGAAGCTTACCTTAATGATGCCAGGGAACAGACAGTTGATGGCAGCCATTTAGGAGGAATTTTGGAACTTATATTTTAACATTCCCAACGCTGACAAGAGTGGCTGGCTCCTCATTATCCATACACACAGAAGAGCAAGGCCTCTCAAGTCTCACTGCTTTCCTCTCAGGATGTGTCACTTTCTAATCCCCTAATACATCATTAGAGACCCATCTTCCTTAGTGTCCTCATGTATAAGAGAGAAAAATAATGTAACCACCTTATAGGGTTGTTGTAAGTAGAAATGAGTTGTGCATACAGCACAAGAAAAGTGTCAATTACAGAAGACACATGATGACATGGTGGGTGTTATACTTGCTTTTCCTCCCTTGTTAGGTGATATAAGTCTGTGCATCTATGTTATCCATAGTTATCCAGGTGGTTATCGAATACTTCTTGAAGAATCAGAGGAAAACACAGCATTTCATGTATAAAAATGTCAAGTTAAATATAGATAGTTGCTTATGTTACAATTTTGCTCAGGGTTGGAAGCATGGCTCAAGTGGTAGAATATTTGCCTACCAATTGCGATGGCCTAGATTCAAGTCCCAGTACCACGAAAAACAGTCAAATTTTTCCGTTATAGGGCATCTTGACAATTACTTGTGGTCTTATTCATATAAAATTTTTGGTAACAATTTGTTTTAAAAATTACATAGTTCAGCCAGGTGCCAATGGCTCATACACTCCTTGCTACTCAGGGAGCTGAGATCTGAGAATCATGGTTTGAAGTTAACCTGGGCAGGGAAGTCCATGAGACACTAATTTTCACTTAGCCACCAAAAAAGCCAGAAGCAGAGCTGTGACTCAAGTGGTAGAGTGCTAGCCTTGAGCTAAAAAGCTAGAGGACAGCGTCCAGGGACAAGTATTAGCACCCCTAAAACTGAAAGTGGGCTCAGCAGTAGTCTGCCTGTTTAGCAAGTGTGAAGCCTCAAGTTCTATTTATAGCACGATTAAAAGAATAATGATGCTAAATTATAAGGATTATGAGGAAGGATGATACTAGGTTAATTCAAAGTTATATAAATCCCTCCACCTTAGGCTCTGAGCTCCATACGCTCTGGCTTATCTCTATTTCACTGCCTTTCCTCTTGGCCTCTTCTGGCCATGGTTTCATCCAGGAAACCTGGGCTTTGCTTTGGTCCCCTCTCCTTTTCATCTCTGCACCCTCCTGGGAGCCTCTTTCTACTTACTCTACAACCTGCAAACAAAATGTTATTTTTGGCTCTGAGCTTTCTAGAACTCCAAACACATATTTCAACTGCTTCCTTGACTGTGCCACATGAGTAGCAAGTTTGTGTTTCAAATTACACATGATCAAAGCTCTCAGCTGTACTCTTCCGTTTTTCTCCCTTTCCCTCATCCTCTCATCTCAAACACATTTCTATTGCACAAATCTAGGTGTTATCCTTATTTGCTCATCCTTTCCTAGGCCTAAGTCTCTGCAGCCCCTGATTCAGGCCACTCTTATTGATCTCTTGGATCACTGCCAATATCTTTTAGATCATAGTCAGAAATCTGTCCCACTAGCCTGCTTAGAACCCTCTTATGGTACTTAGAATAGAACACCAACTCCTTCCCATAAAAGCCGACATGATGTCAGCCTCCTTGTACTTTGCTCACTAGAGCTGCAAGCTCATACCTGCCCCCAGGGCCTTTATACTAACCACACACTTGGCCTGGAACACTAGTTTTCCCAACTCTTAATCCTCAGGTGAATGGGTCTTGTGATAGTTCAGACACAGGCTTAAGTTTTTACCTCTTTTGGTGAGCAGAGGAACTACTCAATAGCCATCATATCATCCTCTTTTTTTATGGCGTTATTATCATTTTCTGATTCCCTTATTATTGATTTTCTTCAAGGGAATATGGTTCCCTAAGAGCTGGGGCCTTGTCTGTTGAGTTCCTCCCAACTTTTATACAAGCAGCATAATGAAGTATGAATGTCCTGAGGTATTCAGGGTCAAGAGTGTGTCTGTCCTGCCTTTCCCCATCCTGGATCTGAGTGCAGAAGATGACAAGCTGCTGCTCTAGTGACTAGGGGTCATATGACCTTGATGTGTCTGTCATCTGACTTAGAAGGAATTGCCTGTTTTCTACTCTTTTCCCTTATTCTACCCTATGGGTCTGACAGCCGTCTGATACAGTGACTCCTTCTTTCTCAAGCTCTCTGCCATAGGGAAGCACAGGTTGCTTGGTGTGAATGTTAAGTAGTGCTTACCGTCTGATGCTATACTGAGCAATTCCATGTGTGTCGCTGATTCCTCACGACTCTGGGATGGTGCTGCCCTCTATTCTACAGAAAAGGAAACTAGGCCTCAAGGGTGATGGGGAGCAGGGTTGTCTGAGGCCAGAGCCTACTCCCCTGATCAGTACACCACTCTGTGCCAAGGCTTCTGTTTCAAGTTCCCAGTGAATTGTTAGGCTGGGAGATGGAATAAAAATGGTAGCTGCACAGTGTTAACGGCAGATAGGAAGCCGCATGGTGTATTCTTTCAAGAGGTTTGTAAGTTTTAAATGCTACAGGTAATGATGAAAAATAATACTTGGACTTGTTTTCATTTGTTTATAAAATTCCAAACAATGATGGCTTATACCACTCTTTACATCTTTTCCAAGCAAAATAATATTTGAATACTAATTAAAAACATTTTGAATTTAAACAATACCAGGCTGCAAACATGTCAACATACAGAATATGGTAACTAGAAAAATGTGGTTGAAGTGGAAAACATTGAAATTTTGGCAGTGCACTCAGACTGAATGGCCTTTCTGAAGAATTCACATTTACAAGACAGCTGTGTGAAGGCCATACATCTGTGCTTATAATACAGTAAGTCAGTCTGGTTGCCTACATTGTGAAATAAAACTGTAAAATTAGGTAGATGTTAATAAAAAAAAAGTCCTACTGCAATCATTTTACTTATGATACCTTATTTAATCAGACTATTAATTGCAAAGAAGAAATAAAGAATTTACCTTAGGCAGCCTGTTGTGTTACGCAGAACTAGTGAAGTCTGAAATTTAATTTTATGATCATCATCAAAAGAAGAGTTATTCCACCCAGAATGTGGAACAATCACAGTGTTGGTTAAGGGTGAGAGAGCATCACGAATGATTGTCATCTTTACGGCATCACATGAGGATAAATTCCAAAGAACTCCTAAAAAAATGGAAGTCCAAAAGTCAGGTTACCAGTTAGAGATCCCACAGCTTTAAGAATGAAATCAGTCCTAACTGATAAGAACTCAGTCTGTCCCAACTAATCAATGGTTTCTTTTTCTAAATGGCCTGGTGCTCGGCTTCTAATTGCTGAATGGACACGGGTGAGCTCATGTCAGTATATTCCAAAGTCTTTAGAGCATTTTTAAGATTTGGAGCAACAGGCAAGTTACCTGTGGTTTTAGCAGAGCAAATTGAGTTTCTCTGGGTGGAGGAGTCATCCAAGAGATGGTCATAAACATATAGTGTTTATGACTTTTAACTTGCCCTCTAGGGCATCATCCTTTAAATCTATGACTAGACTCTTGTAGATTTAAGATGGACTTGGAAAACTTTCTTTCATCAAGCCTCCATTTTTTAATTTTTTTGGGGTAGGAGTCTCTCGCAAGCTCAAGGTTAAATACAATACTTGCAGTAACTTTATTAACTTGGAGAGTGAATGCATTTGCGTCAGCTTCCTCACTTGGATCATTTCATCATTTTAAGCTTATCTTTTTTTTTTGTCATGAGGCCTGAACTCTGGGCCTGGCACTGTCCCTCAGCTCCTCAGCTCAAAGCTAGCACTCTATCACTTGGGCCACAGCACCACTTCTGGCTTTTTCTGCTTAAGTGGTGCTAAGGAATCAAACTATTGGCCTCATGCATGTGAGGCAAACACTCTACCACTGAGCCACCTTCCCAGCTCCTTTAAGCATCTCTTGTAAGAGTTTGATTTCTGTGTTTCAGGATGGCAAGTTAGTATCATTCCTTTTGAGATACATGTGAAACTAACAAATTAAAAGTCACTCATACTGTAGTTCATATAAAAAATTTTAGGACAAGGGACTGGAAATATAGCTTATTAGAGAGCAATTTAAATTGCCAAGCTTATTAGAAGGGCGGCTTCATTTCTCTGTCAACTCTGACAAGGTCAAAAAATCATTAGAACACATTTTCCAAATTGGTGTTTTGTTTTGCCTTTTTTTGTTTTTTGGTCGGTCATGGGGCTTGAACTCTGGGCCTGGGCGCTGCTCCTCAGCTCTTCAGCTCAAGGCTAGCGCTCTACCGCTTGAACACATTTTTTCAATAATTGTTCATACAGAAATTAGGGCAAGTCTGAGATGACATCTATTCTACTTCATTTCTCACATGAACACAATCATTTTTCCCCTAAATTAAAGGGTGGAGGAGAGACAGCAGCTGGTGTTCTGCCACTGTAGCTCTCAGAGCCAAATACTCCTGACGCATCATTGGCAAACAACTTGAGTCCTCACAAACTATCACATGTAGAACCCTGGTTCCATAGAAAACGAAAGAGTTGGCAAAATCTGCCCACGTCCATGGGAGTGTGTCAGCCTTATAAACATGATTGATCAAAAGCAATGGGCCAGAGACAAGCCTGAAAACTGCTGCTCCAGGGTATTGTAGGCCAAGTTGCCAGCCCAGAACATGCTGAGTCAGCCTTCTTTGGGCATGAAATAAAGGAGAGAGGCAAGAGAGAGCCAACAACAGCTTTCCGTGTCATGGGGGTAAGTGTCAGGATCATGAGGCTAAAACTGAGAAGAGAACAGGAAAGCCAGCCTTTCCCTTGCCTGCCCCCACACTGGCAATGAGGGCTGATGCTTGTGCTCCATTCTGGCCTATGCTCTGTGTCTGTGCTCCCTTCTTGGCTTTGACTTGTGGATCTTATTACTTTGGTTTCCCTTTGTCTTTTCCCCCACCATAACTCAGCTTTTCAGAAACCTATCCTCTAATGTGGCCTATCTAGTTGAGCTTCTGGAAGGCACTTCCTTTAAGTGGGATGGGCATGGGCCTGGAAAGGATTCAGACAGTTTAGGATCCAGAAAAGACCTTGATTTGGTTTTGAAAGCTTGTTCTGTCCACTACAACAGGTCTTAGCTATTTTGAGTCCCACTCAGCAGGGTTTCCTATCTAACAGACATTTGACAAGCACTGTCATAGGGCAAAGTACTGGAATGTAATGACCACAGAAGGGTCTGTGAACTGAGAGCTAAAAAATGAGAAACTACTCTTTGTTGGTCTGTCCTGGACAAATAACAGAAAGAAAACGGAAAGAATGGGTAGAGGTGCGTGCATGCTTGTATGTGATAGGATGCAGCTACAATGTGGCTTTAACATTTCCTGCTAATGAGGCCTGACGTACTGGACATACAACAGCCAGCCTTGGTGGCAGCCTACAGTCCACAGATCATTGATGGGGAGGTTGTCATTTCCTAACCTCCCCTGCTGACAATTTTATAACATGTGATTCCTAAAGTCATTGGTGTAATTGTCTGTCACTTCAAATTCACTTAAAAAAATTCGGCTCATGGGGGGGAACCTTCATTTTTCAGTAAACTACTTTCTACTTCACAGCATAAATGTATTCCAGTAAAGTTAACAGCAAGGCTAGCCTTATAAAAAGCAAAGCCAATCAAACTGGAGGCTCTAAGTATAAAATCAGATATGAAATTGCTCCTTCGTATCCACTGGGATTTGTTTGGGATGCCCCTATGGATACCAAATATGCAGATATAAAATGGTAGCTATAGTTTTGTATGTTCTCTCCTGTATATCTTTAAGTCATTTCTAGATTGTTTATCAAATCTAACAAATGCAAATACTATATAATTGTCAGATGACATTTTACTACCTTTTGTATTATAACTTGTTTTGGTTCATTTTCTTATTGGTGTCAGCCTCCTAATTACTAGGATTACAGGGATTCACCACTATGCCCAGCTTTCCTAAGTAGGTTTGATATGTTGTTAGTTGACTATGAATGTGGACTCTGCAGATATGAGGGGATTTGACTGTATAATTGTACAAGAGTTAAAAAAAAAACCCTGGTATCACAAACTTAGGTGTAATGGTAACTTAGAGGGGCATAAGTTCACCCTGAGGACACCCTGCCTCCCTCCCTTTCTTTTCTCCCCCATCTTCCTCCCTTTAGTGCTGGTACCAAGCCTTGAACTCAGCCTTTTTCTGCTTATGGCTGGCAAGCTACTGCTTGAGTCATGCCCCAACTTGTGGCCTTTTGCTGGCTAACTCCCAACTGGGGTCCTTACATCTCAGGCTCCAGAGTAGATAGAATGACAAAAAGAGTAGTATTTCATATCTAACTTAGTATTGGACATAGCATAAATGTTCTTCAATATAAACAAAAGCAAAGTTACCATTTAGTGTGGCTTTATTCTGTGCTATGCATCATATACTTTACATATAGAATTAAGATGCATAAATGAATTAGCTTTCCCATGTGGTTTACTATAGGTTTGAAAGTCTACATGTTGATTTCTTAAAGTATGATGAGCATTACATTTCCAATTTTTATTTTAATTTGATTCAGTAAGTTTAAAGAGCTATCCAGTTATCATCCATGCTTTTATGCATTGTTAGACATATGAAGGACACATAGTGGATACTCAAAAACATATGCTGAAGGATTCATCTTATATTCTATATTTGTTTTTAGAGTCTTTTCTTTTGTTTCTTTTCACTATTGAGGACTGTGTCCAGGGACTTGCACATGCAAAGCAAATACTCTACCACCTGGGCCATAACCCCTAGCTCTGTGCCTTTTCTTAAAAGTATTTAGGAGTGCTGTTAAGGTCTGCAAATGCAAGGAGAGGACCAGAACAATGTTATGCATTTTTATCAGAATGGGTCAGCCTGCCTGCCACACTGAAGCCACCATCTTTGTTATGGGACAGCAGAATTCTATTGCCGTTGCATTTTCCAGAACCAAACTCTAGAATTACCAACACTCTAGAATTCCCATCCTTCAGATAAAAACACAAAACCCCAAACTAAAAAACAACAAAAGAGCGGTGTTGCCAGAATATAAAATGCAAAGTTGTTAAAAAATATGGAACTCTTTAGTAGACAAGCTGATTATGCTATCTTTGGTCAAATGAGATGACTTATTGATCATAAAACCAGTCCACTGCTGAAATTCAGGCTTTCATTTCTATAATGAAAAATTGTTCAAAGCTATTCTTTGCCAGGAAAAAAAAAAGATTCTATTTTTGCTAAGCATGTGATATTCTAGAAGCTGATAAAAAGGCAGCTTTATCATCCTGCACTGTGCATTACTGCATCCCTGCCATTCTGTATTTCACACAGAATTGAAAGAAGTACAACATTTGGTGTGGATTTAACTATCCATTTTCCAACATCAAAGTAGGTTTCAAGACATTGATTTTTCTTCCCTAATTTCTATTCTCTAAATAAGGTTACATAAAGCCAAAACAACTAGTTCTGATGAACAAACACTAGATGAAAAAGGCTCAATTAAACTGAAAAGCCTTTGCTATGGAATGATTAATTTGGATTTTCTACTCAAAGTAAAAAGCACCATTCTTAAGACCAGCTAATAATACCTATGTGTACTCTAGCTTACTAAAGAAGTAATAAAACACATTCTTTCCACTTAGTCTGTCTAGGGCTTCATTTAATGGGTCATGAAGTATTTTTCTAGGGTCATAAGTAACATGTAGAAAATACACCAAGTCCCAGATGTACCAAGACTGATGAGAAAATGGAGAACTGGAGGATCAGCATCCTCTATCCATGGATAAAGCTCTAGCTCTGACATCCTAATGTAAAATTTATTTAAAAAGTACTTAGTGGCATACTCTATTATCTCCTGGTGCCCAAAGAAAAAGTTAAAAATAAAGCATAATTTGGTTTAGGAGGCTGGAGATTTTAATTTAAAGCAATTATTTGCTATTTGCTGTGAGTAATAAGAGTATACATATATAAGTGAATTTAGAAAATATTAGAAAATTTCATGCATATTATCATCTAAAATGCTGCTTATTTTCTACCACAGGAATAAAGTACACATAATTATGAGTAACTAATATGCACAATGAAATACTGCCATGAGATGAAAGTTCATTCCCATTCCCCCAAAGAATGAATAAAGTAATTAAAATACCATTTCACATAAATCCTATG